CATTTCAGTTGATTTAATTATATCAGCAGAAATGAGAATGTCACATGATAACTACTAATTACTAATTGATGGCTTTGCTTGAATTTATAACGCTGAATATATCAATATGCTGAGCAAGAGTCTTTTAACACAGCTAATCTCACAAAACAATTTAAATTATTTTTTATATTCCCATAGCAAAAATAACACTTCATTATTACAATTGAAGTACTATCAGTCAGAAAGATTAGTTTAAATACTTAACTTTGATATTTTTTGAGTTTTGTGACATTTGTCAATAAGACCTGAATTTCTGTTGATGTAGACTTTTTTTTTTTTTTTTTTTTTTTAGTGCAGAATTTATACTTGCTATTTGCTTCTCCATGTTTTGCTATGTCATTATTTATACCATCTGTTGTATGTGATCTGCAGGGAACCAGCAAGTTAGGCAACTTTATTTTGCTGATGAATAGCAGGGATGATTCACTAAATAGGTTAAGCTGTATGAGCTAAGAAACAGGATATTTTAGATATACTTGGTATGTAAAGTGTATTTTCATTCTGACACTCAAGTAGCATAAAGTACAATTAGTGGTATTTAGATTTTATTGATAATAGTAAATAAGAAAAAATAGATCATGATTATGTTGGATAACACTATAAACATGACTAGTTCGGGATAAATTTAAAACATGCATCCAAAATATATTTGTAGTCTTATAGGAAGTATGATTAGTATTGAAGCACCTCAACACCCAAGAATAGTTGTGTTAACTAGTGGTTTGCACTGATTACTACTACTGATTTTTAAATAAATATAATAGTAGATCATGACCAAATCCAAACCACACATGCTCAATGGTACTGATGTTTTTCATAAGCTCCACTCCCTTGTTATTGGAAACAGGAGACATTGTGGTATAATTTTAAGGTGCAGATATCCTGATATATTTTTTGTTAGAGGGGGAACAGCAGCACTCTAGATTGCAACAGGGATTATGATATGGCAACAATTAAAAGAGCTTCCCAGCATATTAAGAGCAGGCTTATACAAAATAATTTATGTAAACAAATTGATTAGTTAACATTCAGAGTTCATGTGAATTTAATGCTAAGAGGCATTCAAGTAAAGTCCATTCAATAAGAGGACTTTACTGAAGTGAGACAAGCAAGAACAGCCTCTTAGCTGAAATGATAAACTATTTATTTCACTCTGGAACACTTGAATTTTACTGATACTTGATTATATAAACAGCTGATCTAAATGTTTGTCTATTATCTGCCCAGCCACCTAGTCTATGTCTAACTACACTCGTGACGGATATCAAAAATTCTCAGGAATTTATAAACTCCAAATGTGATTTAATTAACAGATGGCCAGGAATCATTAAGTTCTAGTTGAAGCATTCTGACAGGTAAAATCATGTCAAAATGCATATTCTACAATGTATCATAGTTTACTACCATGATTAAGTTGGCATGACTCCTCATCATACATGGTCCTAGAACAATTGTTCAAGAGTGAGTGGTTCCAAATCTAGAAACTATGCAATGACTCAAAGACATTCCTTGGTCTTTCAACAATATATTAAAAGAAGGGAATTTTGGTTATGTATAACTGCTTAATGACAAGTCATTACATAGGAAAATGAAGTATATATTAATGACAATGATTTTTGAGTGCTCATTAATGCTACAAAGGTATCCGGGATCGAAGCAGACTATTAATCATAAGAGCTATTTTTAAACAATGCTACCTGTGACTCTGCCTATTCCAGAAACCAATGTCACATTAGAAGGACATGAAACCACTTTCAGCTATTTCTGAATAAATTCATCAGTAAACAAGCCCTTTTAGCCTATCATCTACTTTGACAGATTGTCCAAGAAACAAATTTGGTCAATAAAAACAAAATGTTCTTTTTAAAAGTTAAAAAAGTCACAGCCAACAAACACAATGTAACTTCTAAACAACTCCTTAGTTTCATGTCCTGTCTCTCTCTTCCTCCCACAGATCCAGCTTGCAAGATGCTGACCAGTAATGAGATACTCTGCGCATCCATCACACCCACTGTCTCAGGGGGAGGTGAGAGCACACAGGCTCTCCGGCAAGACCGTGTTCAAACTACGGATATAAAACTCAGTGGAAGGCAACGGTAATATATGATGCGAATTTATCATTCCTAATACAGCTCCTGGCTTCCACCCTGCTGTAAGTGGGCTGAAGAAGTACTAAAACAGTGAACACCAAAAATGCCCGGGTACAGATTGTTCCCTGGAAGGGAAGCAGTCAAGCAGACAGTAGTTGCATAGGAATATGTTACAACTGTTACACAGCAGCTTATGAGAAATCTTGAAAGTTGTTGGAAAGAGTCTTTTGCTATTGCTCCCACAGGAACCAGAGTCGTTATGGTGCCCCTGGTCTGCTTCACTATGTGTTTTACACTTCCTAACTCTCATGGTGCCCCTCAACTTTAAATTTACACAAACTCTGAATGTTACCCAATCAATTTATTTATGTAAATTATTTTCTATAAGCCTACTCTTTATGTACTGGGAGGCTCCTTTAATCATCCTCACTTCATATTTCCTGCAATCTACAATTTTGCGGTTGTACATTTTTCCTTTACAACATAAAAAATATCATGATATCCATACTTTATGAATACATCAAAATTTTTACTGTTTCCAATAGCAAGCAGACTGCACGTTCTCAAACCCAGATGCAAAATTAAAAGGAAATAAATATTAAGGTATAAATAAAAAAAATAAATAACAAGGTAATAAATATTGCAAAGAACAAAAAAGAAAAAAAAACATGATTTCAAGTAGTATACAATAAGAATTTACTCCACATTTTCCATTTATTTTAACTGTTTATATGAGTCCTAATTCTATAGCTTAGCATGAAAGACACAAGTGTAGCAGAGGGAAAGTGGCATTATATGAGATACCTTCTTTAAATTCAGAAGATTGGTTATCATACAAACATATTTATGAAAGAGGCATGGTCAAGGTTACTGAGCTTGAATACATGAAGTGAGATATTCAGATTATGCAGCTTCAACAGCCTAAGAAACTTCCAAGGATAGTTCCAAGGAAAAATATTGCCATTGGCCTCATTTAGCTTAGGAGAGAGACAGAACTGAGATGTCATTGCCTTATCCAAGCCAAATGAACTGAAATTAATGGGAAAACTGAACGTGATTGTGGTAGGCGGAAATTTAAGACAAAACTAAGTAATTCTAATTTTAAATTATTTTGACTGTGTATTTTTATTTTAAACTAAAAATATAGTAGAAACTAAATCTTGGGAGCTTGAATCCACCTCAGTTTCTGTTTCCTTGAGTGACACGACTGAGTTGTAAACACAAAAAGTAGTTTTACAATGTCTACCATTAAGACAACTGTATTTATTTTATTTTAATAGAAAAAGGTTGCTGCTGACTCAGGTTTTATTTCATATACTTAAATTTAGCCCTGTGATATTTTGCAACTAGAAACATTGCAGTCATGCCAAAACACAATGAGGAACTAGAAAATGCAACCTATTAAAAAACCCAACAACCTGAAACCAATTCATTAAGCAACTGGCAAAATGAAACAACAAAGCAAACAAACCACATCAATGGTGAAAACACACAAAAATATTAAATATTAAATTGGCTTATATTTTAGTAATTTGAGGTATATAAGCAACACAGATAAGGGTTTTTTAAGAATATATGACTTTAATTTTGTCCCTTGAATGATAAATTTACAATGAAAATGACATGTCCACCATAATTTTGAAATACAATGTAGTTACCACCACTTTCCTGCAAATGCCTTTCTGTTATATTTGCTTGTGGCAGAGGAGTAAATTTGACAAAAATAAATTCTTATGCACATCCACCCTTAGGGGATTAATAGCAAAATGAAGCATTTAAAGTAAAATAAATGAAGATAAAAATTCTACAAAATAAACATTCTTCCTGGATTTCATAATACCAAAATTTTCCTCAGCATATTGTCCAGTACACCACTCTTTAAAAAAAAAACAAATAAAAACCCCAATCAAACAAAAAAAACAAACTTAAAAATCTGAAGAAACAAGATCTGTTTATTGAGAATGAGGCAAAAGGACACATTTGACATTGGCCTGATATTTTACCTCTTGTTGATAGGGGTACTAATATTCCCAATGTTCAATATCAATGTCAGTTCACCCCTAGAACTGTGAGGCTATTTGTATTGGGAAGAATATATTCATGGTGCCTGTGCCAACTTCTGGAGCGTTTGTTGATCCTCTGAGGCCCTTCTCCCGCTGAGGCCCCTCTCCTCAAGGCTGTCAAAGATGCTTGTGTCTACTCCTCCTATACTTGCCATGGACAGCTCAAGTGGAGATGGCTTTATTTAATTTGGAAGAGGAAGAATTTGCTCTGCCATCTCTCTGTGCTCCCACAATGTGTACTCAAGCATTAGTGGACAAATATATCAAATAAATATCAGATAAAAGCACTCAAAATATGGTAATGCAAAGAAAGGATATATTTTAGGGTATGGCCAGAGAAGATATTCAAAGCCTCCACTGCTGCTTCTAGAAATGTCAGGACAATTCAGAAATGTCAGTTCCTTTGCTGGTTTCCAGATTGCAATTGAAGGATCATGTAGCTCTCTCGCTCTTTCTATCTCTCTCTCTCTAAATAGGTCTATAAAGATCAGCTGGAAAGTGCAGACAGAATTGTTCACTGGTTAGCTTTACTTAGAGCTACAGGGCATATATGTGCTTTTTTTTGTCTTATTGATCAATCTAGCTTACATTTTTAGCACACACAAACAAAAATCAGGAAAAAAAAAGTTGATGAAAAACACGAACAACACAAATAAGGTTCCAATCGTGCAAATTTTGCTTCACTGGATAAAGCACTTCTTGACACAGTAATGTCCAGAATCCCCCTCCCCCAGAAAAATACAGGACTGAGACTGAAGCATTTTTTTTTCCTTTTTTGTCTTTTTTTTTTTTTTTTTTTTTTTTTTCCTTTTTTCCTTAAGGCTATACAACACAAAGAAATAAAGCATGGAAGAACACCTCATTGGGCTGAACACTCCATTCTTCTGGCTCTGGAGTGAGCCTTTGACAAAGCCATTCTGTGGTCCGAGTTATTTGTTTCATTGGGACAACAACAAGAGAAAGAAAAAGAGGTAAAAATGAAAGAGAGGGGGAAAAAAAGAATAAGAAAGTCAATGATCCCAACAATAAAATCCAAAATTGACTTTACAATCACAGGTACAAATTGCTCAGGTCGATAATTTCATTCCTCCTAAAGATCACTGTCGTCTAAAACTAATTAGAGGCGCAGGTTCCAAGGAATTGTCAATATTCAAAGTAAATGTTGGAGTTTAGAAGGTTATCATTCTTCTACTGTGACAGTCTGACGGGGTGACTGAAAATATTGTCATGTGCTGCCAAGTTCAGGGTATCTTTAACAATTGAATCCTTGCTCCGGCTCATGGATCTGTCTCCTATTTGGCCTTCTTTTATAGTGGAAAGACTAAGAAGCCGGAAAAGGTTGAATATTTCCACCCTCCCATGAGGTTACCCCTTTCCAGTTTGAGATGCACTTTGTCTTCTCTTTCCATGAGGAGTAAGACCCCATTGCTGGCTGCTTCTCTGGTGACGTCCTGATCCCCTGCAAAAGCTGAAATCACTGGGTAGCCGTTTTGCATTAAACTTACCTAAAAAGTGCAAAGAGACAGAATCTGAGTTTTCCCAATATTCTCAAGGATTTTTTTCCCTGTGCATATCACTAAGCTTTTGTACAGGCTAGAATCTAGGTTGAATCAAGCTAAGGAAATAGGCAATGTGTGATTTCTGTTATGTATACAAACCCCTTTACAAATAACCCACACTCTCATTCTTCAACTGCTATTTATTTTTTAATGAGATTAGAAATGAGCATTTGAAGAAAAAAGAAATTAAGAAAATTAAAGGAAAGGAAAGACAGCATCTTCTTTAGATTAGAACCCACCTGGATGGTTTGTCTGTTATAGACCTTGACCACGTGGAAACTGAAACTATATATCCCTTTTCTTGGTGCTACAAATATACTGGAAGTAAGATCAAAATGGTTGCCAATATTAACTAATACCTGGAATGCAAACAAATAAAACAGAACAAAGAAAAGGAGAGAGAGAGAAAGAGAGAAATCAGAGAAATCAGACTGACTCCACCTTCGAAAAGCACCAGCAAAAATCTGACATGAGCTCAATGACTAATATAAAGCATAGCCAAAATGGCATTTGCAGCACAATTTAAAGTGCATGGCAGGGGAATGGAGTCAAGTTACGGAGGCATTTAAAAGGTACCAGACTTAATAAAGCGATTTAGTTACACAAAAATTATCTTCAAAGTCTGTTAGATGAGGTGCAAATGTCCACACTGAGCTGTCAGTAAAGCAAAGGTGGCAGAAGGAGGGGGAGGAGTGTGAAATGAAGGGAAAGAGGGAGCGGGAAAAGGTAGGAAAAAACACCAAAAGTCATTATCTCATAATGAAAATGTGTGGGTTTTACATGGCACTACTGAAATCAGAGCTGGCCTGGAGTTTAATAGGGTGTAGAACTACAACTGCACTGCAGGGAGGGGCAAAGAAAGAAGTGGGTGCTCAGCATCAGCAGCACCTGCCAGCTCATGTCTCTCTGTCCCTCTGGAGGGCTGTGCCACTTGGCCCACACGCTCCTCAGGAGGCTGGGGTGGGCCTGTTCCTCCTTTCCGGCAAGAACCTTAATTTGTCATATATTTCAATGTTTGTTTTTTTTTAAACGAAACAAAACAAGACCAAAAAAAAGATGAAGAGTTGAGCACTCCGGCAGATGTGCAAAGCCTCGTTCGGACTCGGCGGCCGCACCCTGCCGATCCCGCCGATCTGACGGGCGCTCACGCCTTGTCCAGGCTCCTGAGACGGGGAGCATGATTTGGATCAAAAGGCACGGAGAGATTTGGGCTGCGGGCAGAGAAGAACCTGCGGGTCGGTGGCGATGCCGTCCGGCCAGCGGGTGTGCCCAAGCCGGCTGCTCCGCCGTGCCCACCCCTGGGACACACCCGTCACGCTCAGTTTGCGGCTAAAACTCTGCTTTAATGAAGAAATACAAAGCAGGAGAAAACAAAAACACTATCGCCCCCCACACCTAAATCTCAAGCCTTTCCTCCCAAACAGCCAAAGTCTATAGCTCCCTCCTCCCCGCGAAAGAAAAAAAGGAACAACAACAAAAAAAAAAATTTAAAAAACCCTTATTGTGGGAGCGCCAAGAAAACGCATTCAAACTCCTAGTACCTGCGAATTACCGGGTAAAACATCTAAAATATGCTATATATTTAGCAAGTTGCGGGGTTGATTTTTTGTTGTTGTGGTTTATTTCTCTACTGATCTGATTTTACGAGCTTTTGTATGCGACGAATGGCTGTGCAAACTCATTAGGAGGATAGATAGACAGATAAATGACAACCAGACAGGCAAAAAAAAATAAACAAACAAAAAACCTAACAAACAAACAAACAAACAAACCCAGAAAAAACAGTCTGGTATGCTAATTTTGGCTGACTCTGCAATACTACATCAGGAGTCAGAAGCGGTAGGAAAGAAGGAAAATTCACCGCAAAAATAAAGTGGATGGACGGGGTTTGGTCTCTGGGAGGCGAGCGGTGCGACGAGGCAGGGGCAGGGGCAGGACGAGCAGAGAAGGCTGTTCTCTGCTCTGCCCCGCATGTGCCGTACGGGATAACATCATTCCGATACAGCCCGCCGGGGACACCGTTCGCCTAGTCTGATAAGGCGGGAAACACCCTCTTCTTCCTCCTCCCTCCCTCCCTCTGAGAGATGCTGTGACATTGCCAAATGCGCTCCGAACAGGCAGATCCGGCCACTCCTCATCAGTAAATCTCTGAATTTGCACCAAAGGAGGGATGTGCATCTTTTCCCCGTTCCTGGCTGGCCGAGGCAATCCTTGGCTGCAAGGCGCCCCCGCACGCGTCCGACTTTCACAGCTTTAACAGTTCTTTCCGTACTGGCGACTGTGACCGGACAAGACGCCAGTGCGTTCACCCCCGGTACTACCCTAGGAAAGCCCCGCAGCTACCTAAAAGAACTTTCCAAAGTCTTTCTGGGGAGTTGAAGCGTGAAGTTGCCATTGAGCTGCCGGGTCGGGATTGAAAGATGGAACGGGAACCAGAAGGACAATACGCGTGCAGCCAGGGGGAGGCAGGGGCAGGGATGCCCGCGCAGGGCGCGGGGACAAGGGGTAGCGATGGCGAAGCAGGAGGCGGCTGACCTGGTCGAAGTAGATGGTCATGGTGCGGTTGCTCATCTCGGAGGGCTCGTGGTTGGTGCTGCGGGTGGCCGAGAAGGCCACCTTGGCGCTGCCCGAGCGCACCGAGATCCCCAGGGAGGAGGTGATGGCGCCGTCGGCGGAGGGGCTGGAGTCGCAGACCACCAAGCACTTCCCCTCCAGGACGATGGGCTCGGTGTCGTTCTGCGCCCGCACCGGGCAGCCGGCGGGCAGCAGCAGCAGCAGCAGCGGCAGCGCCGCCGCCAGGCAGCAGGAGCAGCCGCCCGCCGGCTCCGGCAGCGCCCCCCGCCGCCGCCGCCCCATGCCCAGCGCCGGACCGCCGCCGCCGCCGCTCCGGATCGCCGCCGACATGCGGGCGGGCGGAGGGGGCTGCGCGCCTGCTGCCGCCGCGGCGCCCTGCGGCCAGCGCTCTGCGGGACGGCGGCTGGGCAGCGGCGGCTGCGGCCGCGCCTTCCTCCCCTTCTTCTCCTCCTCCGCCTCCTCCTCTGCGCGGGGCGAAGGAGCCTTCTCAGAGGGCGGGCGGCACGCAGCAGCCTGCCAAGGGGAAAGGCGGCGGTGAAGCACAGCAGCGGGCAGGCGGGAGCCGGCACCGCGCCGCCCGGCGGGCTGCCCCTCCCCGCCCCCGGCGTCCCAGCGAGTACAACAGGTCTGGGAGACAACCGGCTGCCCGGTGTTCCCTCTTTCTCCGGTGCCCCAGCAGCCTGGGGTCCCTCAGCCTCAGCCGTACTCCGGTGGGTGGGTGGGGGGGGAGGGGGCAGCGCGGCAGATTGCATCCCCAAACCCCCGGCACAGGATCCTGCGGGCGCCTCGGGCAGTCTCTTTACCGCCCCACAGCCAATGGGGTCTCCAAAACCCGTCTCCACTTCTTTCCACAGCCCCAAGTATTTACTACATCTGCTAGACTGGTTTGTATCCGTCTCCTAACGGCCCAGACACCACGGAAGGAGATTTATTCTTGTTATAAGTAACGTGCCCTCTCTCCCCTCGATGGAGCTGCCCCGTTATCTGTAGAGTTCGCTGGCGGCCAGAGCTCCCCGAACCCCGCACTCCCGCGCAGCGCTTCCCTGGCCGGGCTCTGGAAGCCGCCGCCGCCCTTCTCCCCGCCTGGGGTCTGCCGCGCTCGGGCACCGATTTGTACTTCCCAACCCTCTGTGCCCCAGGCCAGGCTACCACCACTGCTGCCGACCCAGGCGACTCCCTAAACTCCCGACAATGAAGCAGCTGCCTCAGATATCCCCTGGTTCTCACCCCGGCATGCACACATCGCAGGAGTCAAAGCCTCACCCGGCTTCTCCCTCGGAAGTTGCATCTCAGTTTTTGCCGTTCACCAGAACACCCGGGATCTAGCTCCTGGGAGATCGTCCCTACGCTCCTCCAGAGGCATCTCTACCGCTGCCCTAACCCCGCACCTTATTTTCGCTATAATTTAAAATGATATTTTACAAAAAGAACAGCCGGCGGGGAGGAGAACGGCCTTTTTACCTGGGCGGTCCATGTCGGGAGAGGAGGGCTGGCTAGGTAGCTTGTCCGTGAACTTGTATAGCTTAGAGAAAATGAGCCGAGATTGCGCTGGCAGAAAGAAAAGGAAACAGGAGTCGCCTCTTTCTCTCCCGCCCATTGCCAATAATCATCCCCCTCCCGCCAGCCGCTACCACCACCACCCCACTTCCTCCCTCCTCCCCTCTTCTCCGACACACATATACACACACACACACACACAGACACACACACACAGACACACACAGACACACACACAGAGGCAGCCGGCAGGATTCAGACACAGGGACCGGAGTGGAATGCTGCCACGGCACCGCCGGCGATGCCGCACCCCAGCCCTTGCCCCGGCCGGGCACCCCCGCGCCCTGGAGCGGCACCTCGACACATCGCGAGCAGCAGCGACAAGCCGTGATGTTCCCACTGGGACGGCCTCTCCGGTGTCACCGGAGGCAGGGAAGAGCCGTGCTGCCTCCCCCCTCCTCCCCTTTATTTCTACTTGAACCCGTCGTGCTAAGACGACCGTGTTCTAACATGCCACCGACACGTTAGCGCTCACCGGCCGCCGCTGCGGCCCAGCCACGCAGCATCACTCACTGGGAGCTATTTGGAATTTACAGACTTTAATTCTGACAACAATAATCACTAAAAAGGACATGTTGTTCAGGGCACTTCGGGTCGTAAGGCTGCGCCCTGCACACCGCAAAGCCCCATCCCCACGCTGGCATCCGCACACCTCGGCGCTCAAAGTTCGGCGGTGGCTCTCCATTTATTAAAATATTTATTCCCCGGGGTGTCCTAGCTTCCTGTCCCATTCTCAGACCCGCTCCCGAACCGGGACCCCCTTCCTGACCCACTTCAGAACTGGGATACGCTCCCCGACCCTCTCCCGAATCGAACCCATTCCTAAGCCCTCTCCCGGCCCCGCTCCCGGCCCCTCTTCTAGCACCGCTTTCGGTTCCGCTCCCGGCTCGGTTCCCAGCCCCGCTCCCGGCCTGGTTCCCAAGCCCCACTCCCTGCCCGGTTCCCAGCCCCGCTCCCGGCCCGGTTCCCAGCCCCGCTCCCGGCCCGGTTCCCAAGCCCCGCTCCCGGCCTGGTTCCCAAGCCCCACTCCCTGCCCGGTTCCCAGCCCCGCTCCCGGCCCGGTTCCCAAGCCCCACTCCCTGCCCGGTTCCCAGCCCCGCTCCCGGCCCGGTTCCCAGCCCCGCTCCCGGTCGCTCCCGCGGCTCCGCTCCAAGCGCGGTCGCGAGGCGCCACCTGGCGGCGCGGGGCGGGCTGCGGGGGATGGAGGGAGCAGGGAGGGTCTCACCCCGGCAGGGAAGGGAGGGAGGGAGGGAGGGAGGGAGGGAAATTCCCAAGGGGCAGAACGCTCGGCTGAGGAGCTGAGGGGCCGCCCCCTCTCGCTGGGCTGGTGGGTCGCCCCTGCCTTGCGGAGCGGTAGCGATGATGTCTGTCACAGCCAATGTTATCATCTGATGTTGCTGGCTGCAAATGTTTCATGCTCCTCAGCTCGTGGGGCTGCTGCTGAGAGGTTATCGCAATGCGAGAGAGGGTAAGGCAGAGCTCTGGCAATGCAGTTTTGAGAAACACCATTGCCTTTTGATGCATTTCTCTCGATTGCAAACCGGGTTTCTCATTGCATACGGCGTTTTCCTAGATATCCTGAAACTTAGACTCCAGCATCTGAAAGGAACTTATCAGAAAACTGCGCATGCATCTAAGTGGTAGCTCCTGATATAGAGAAAATTCGCAGGTGTATGTCAACAGTAAAATTACAATCTCTTTTATGAATGAGCACTCCTCTGTTTCAATCTTCTGCTTTGAGCAGAAGCAAGGAACCCCTGAGGGTGTCTACCTGGTGATTTGCACCGAGAAATTAATCATGCCCTGAAATTACAGCTAAGCAGTGTGCAGGGAATTCCTAACCTATAGCTCCTTATTTCAAATGAGAAATTTATGCTAAGACTGAAATACTCATGTTTAATGGTCTTTTTTTTTCTGAGTTCAAGCACAGAGAGATGGGAGTAGAAAGCTGAAAAGTGTAGTGCATTAAAATTATCAGAAATCAGAGCAGGAATAAGTCTATAGCTCTAAGGCAGCACCAGTTCTACAAGACAGTGAAAAGGACCACAGAAATTCCTTCAGAAGATATCGACACTCAATCTTACCCGTTTCTGGTACATAGGGAGCTGCTATTATTTCTCTTTAGATCACACTACTCATTGATTATGACTGTGTTGTATAAACGAGGAATGAAAGCAGAGCCAAAGGTTTTCTACTTTGTTCTCTGTGGCTTAGAACATAAGGTCCACTGCTGAGGGAATTATGGCATGTTATCAGTTCTGCCTGCAACTTTCCAGGAAGATGAGCGTAAGAACTAAAGGGAACTGAAAAGCCATTAAATCCAATGTGCACCCACATGGAAAAAAAATAAAATTAAATCTTGGCTTTTTTTAGTACAAGAAATGGATCTCACATGTACAGAAACTCTCTTCTTCTTAGATAGGTAAGTAGTAAAAGATCTTTAAGTAAAAATCATTGCAATATGAATAGAGGGCGGGAGAATAACAATAGAATATTTACTTCTAATAAAATAACAAATTATATTACATTTACAGTATTTATTAGAAAACAGTTCTGTCTATAACTACAAATTAAATATTGTCCTTAATGAAATAAAACTGCAGCTTTCATGGAGCTATGTAGCTGGTGGATTTCCTTAAACATCTTCCTATTTTTTGTAAGTTAGAAGGCTGAAAATATAGAATATGTTGTTATCAATGTCAGAAAATGCACCTCAGTTATGAAGTGTAGTTTCTAAAGTAAATTAGCAGATAAGTTATTGGTAAAGTTCTCTTTCTTGAGTTCAAAAAGTTGGTTGTAGTTGGAAAAGAATAGTGTGTGATCAAGTTCATGTCATTTTTCATCACTTTGCCAAGAATGCGAACATTTCTACCAGGGAGGTGTTGAACTTGTTGGTGTAGAAGTTACACAAGAAATAAAACTGCTCATTTCTTTGGAACCATTCTTAAGCTAGCCCTCACCTTGAACTTGTTTAATCCAACAGCTTCAAGGGGAAGAGCTTTTTGTCATATCTACTAAATCAAGTTATCAACAGAAAGGTATTTGATCAGTAGCTCCCAAGTGTTTCCCATACATTATTAACAATAATGCCAAACAAAATAGGATGCTCCTTTCCAAAAGAAAATTCTGTACATCTTTTATTGAAATTATTTCACAAATATTTGATCGTATTATATCATTGTTGCATATATAAAAACTGAGAAAGAAGAAATGTTCATTCGATGTGAAACATTATTTTATCTACCTGTAATATTAGCTTGTAGGAAGGACACAAAAACACTTCCATGGTTAGTCAAAGTGATGATTTCTGAGTCCTCATTTATTAATTAGGTTACCATTTAAATGGCTAAACTGTGTCTTCATGGATTACTTAGCCTTTAAAAATCAATATTACTGTAAATTGTAACAAATGAGATTTAACAGATCTGATTATTTTTTCTTACAAGCACACCTTTGAAATATAATCCGACAGTAGAGAAACTGCAGTCTTCTGAACCTACCCATTGATGACCTCTGTATTAACCACAAGTTGTTCATAAACCAGCTGAGGTATACCCACCCTCTGTGAGAGCAATCCTTGTGTTAAATTCAGCTCTCAGCATGACTTAAAGAATGTTTTGTAAATTCAAATCAGTGTTTAATTCTCTATTCTATTGGGACTCCAGGGCTTATTACCTTATAGCTGTCAGCTATGGCTGGGCATACACAACTCTCTGTTGATAACA